TTAAAAAAAAAAAAAAAGATCTTGACTCAAAACAAAAAAAATAGTAGGTGGAAAGGAGGGCTTTTTAGGGAGGTGGTATGTCTATGAATAAACTGTAATTGACAACTACAAACTACTAATGTAGAAAAAACAGGACCTTACTTAAACTTGCACAGAAGTAAATGCAAATGGAAACTTTCTCAGCATAATGTAATCATGCAATGGTGGGAGCTTCTTCCTTACCCTCTCCCCACACCCGTAAGTGTGTGTGTGTGTGTGTGGGGGGGCGCACATGTGAGTGTGTTGTGTCTGTGTGGTGTGATTTAGAGGCCAGATTGGCTATTTGTATTCTTCCTCTTTTCCCCCCAATGCTAGCTAGGATAACAGGTACCTGGCTTTATGTCCCCAGTCCTTTTTGTTTTTTGTGTCTCGCTATGCTGCCCCAGCTGGTCTAAAACTCCTAGGCTAGAAGCAATCCTCCCAAACCTCAACCTCTCAAATAGCTGGAATTAGAGACATGCACCACTGTACCTGCTTTCTCCTCCTTCAAATGCTGTGTCTAATTGGAAATACATTTATTAAACATTAAAAGGATATATGAAGAAAAACACTGTGTTACCTACCTGGTCCACTCAACATGGCCTTTATTGTTCCTGATGTTAATGCATGTTCTCTTTTTACAATAAATTCATGGCCATCAGAAGATATTAACTTGACATACATGGCATCAGGGCCTTCACAGCCACCATAGGTTTTCTCCTCTCCATCTGAAACAAAGCAGTAAAATAAATTCTAATCAGATAATGTACTAAAAATAAACAGGTTATCTGGGACAATGCTTACCAGTGGGGCATGTTCTTAGCATATGATGCCCTGAGTTTAACTGGTAAGCACTGGAAGGAAGAAAAAAATCAAATTACAGGTGAGGAGTGGGTGTAAATGCTACTCTACCACTGACTGTTTGTTGCCACTGTGCTGGCTTCACTAGTTTCCTGCTCAGGATAAAATACACAAATATGTAACAATTAATGAGATGTATACTTATAAATACTAAGGTCTTTTCTCACACGTATCTTTTATAACTAGTTTTATTGTTACCACAATATATGAAAGCATCTGTGGTAGTTTCAATAAAATGGCTCCCACAGGCCCATAAGTAGTGGCACTAAAACTTTCAATTATAAATTAGTCCAAGTTAGATGCTTTCCATAAGAGTTATCATGATCATGGTGTCTCTTCACAGCAATAGAATCCTAAAACAGCATCTTAAATCTTAATCCAAAAATTTACGAAGCTAGAAGGATGAAGATGATTGTTGTGTTTAGCTACAAACATCCACGCTATTAACTCAGAATTCCTTGAAATGATTATTACTAAAATCACTATTGCTGTCAATGTGAATAACTGGGGGATACAAACTGTATATAAAAATCTAAAAATAATTTTTGTGTATGGATGTGCATATAGAGGTCTGGGGACAACCTTAGCTGTTGGCCCTTACCTTTCACTTAGACTCAGGTATGTTTTGTTTCCAGTGCATATGTGGGGGTCTTAGCTGTCGGTCTTTGACTTTGAAAAGTTGTATTCACTGCAACAGTAGTTGGCCTGCAAGAGTCTGTCTCTGCCTCCCTGCTGCAGGAGCACTGGGATTAAAATGTGTGATAGATGCTGTGCAGGGCTTTTTACATGGAATTCAAAGTCAGATCCTGATACCTGGAAACCACGTCCTTTACCCACTTAGTCCCAGATGGGGCTTTGACACTGTATAACTCTTTTTACAATAATAAGATGGGGACTCAAAGTTGTTAAGTTCAATTCCTAAACTAGACTATTCAAGTTTATAGCCCTTACCACACTTTAAGAAGAAAAATCAGCCTGGCAGTGGTAACACATGCCTTTTAATCCCCCAGCATTCAGGAGGCAAAGGCAGATGGATCTTTGAATTTGAGGCAGCCTGGTCTACTAGTTCCAGGACAGCCTGGACTATACAGAGAAACCCTGTTTTGGAAAACAAACTCAAAAGCTACCATTATTTCAAACAGAAAGGCAGGAAGGCTCATGCCTCCAGTCCAAGTACTCAAAGACTGGTGCAGAGGCTGGGAAGGTGCTCAATACTAGCTGCTCTTACAGAATACTTGGGTTCCATTCCCAGGACCCACAATCACCTGTAAATCCAGTTCCAGGAAATCAAATTCTTAAAGATTGATGCAGGACTGATGAGGCTAACCAGTGAAAACACCAATCCCACCTAAGAAGTTAATTTTATGGTTCTAACATTTTACAGGTGTGATACCTGATTTTGATTGTCAAGTTGACTGGACTGAGAAATGCTAGGTGAGACCCACCTGTCTTTAGAGTGCTAACCTCAGGTGGATCAAGGGCCTCTGAATAGGTTAAGCCACTGAACCCAGTAGACTACTGGAAGGTGGCAGCGTTGTGGAAGGTAGGCTCTAACAGGTGAATATAGGTTCTCCGTCCTGCAGAGCACCAGCTGAGCAGCTATGCCCTAGCACATTTTATGAATCAAAAACCTCAAACTGGGAGCAGTATAAACAAGTTTTTTTGCAGGTATTTATCTGATCATAGGGTCAGGAAATAACACACAACTAAAAATTGGGTTTCTGTGTAGTCCTGGCTGTCTTAGACCAGGCTGGCCTTGAACTAACCAAGATTTCACCTCCTCTTCCTCCTGAGTGCTGGGATCAAAGGCATTTGCCACCACTGCCCAGCTTTTCTGAACCTTTGAGGAAAAATCAGCTCCCACTAATTGAAACACAAAATTACCTCTGTATAACTTACCCATTATGTTCTTACAAAATCCTACTTGATCCTACAGGAACTTTAGTAGTTTCCTAAAAATGTAACAAAAGCAGGCAAAGATTAATAATGTTACATTTGTATTTCCCACACATTACAGCTCAGTGGTAGTGTGAATGTCAGGTGGTGTTGGTAATTTACCTTTAATCACAGAACTCAGGAGGCAGAGGCAAGGGGATCTCTGAGTTTGAGGACAGCCAGGACTGTTACAGAGAATCCATTGTCTCAAAAAGCCAAACCAAAGCAAAACAAAACAAAGAGCAGCTGATCATAGTAGCAGGAGGACTGCTAGTTTAGACAGGCTGGTCTAGAGGGGAAACTTTCAAAATCAAAACCAAACCAAGCCTAAAGTTTGTAGACTTTAGGTGTGACAGATCACTTGCATAGCCTTGTATGCAATGTCCTGCCTTCCATCAACACAACACACAAATGTGACTGATGGTGCTGCTGTTGAGGGGACATGCTGAGGGAAATTAAAATTAAATTAAAAATTGCATACATGGGCTGGAGAGATGGCTCAGGGGTTAAGAGCACTGCCTGTTCTTCTAGAGGTCCTGAGTTAAGTTCCCAGCAACCACATGGTGGCTCACAACCACCCTGAATGAGATCTGGTGCCCTCTGCTGGCATGCAGGCAGAAGACTGTATACATAATAATCTTTTTTAAAAAATGCACACATAAGAAAACCAACTGGTATTTCCCCTGTTCCTAGAAGGCAAACTTAATATCATACCTGTTATACCTGATAGTCACACTAAGCAGCTGACAGTGAGTCTCTAGCTACTTTTAAGCTTACTAGACCACTCAAGATGGGAGGTGGGCTGTTTCTAGGCCTTAACAGAATGACTTCAGTCTTAATCTTAACATTCAATAATGCTTAATAATGGACACTGAGTCATGTCAGTTGAGACTAACATTCCATGTACCTTCCTGCATGTCAGAGAACAGGGAAGGCGGGTACAGAAAACATGTTTGGATAAAGATTATGTAATACATAGCCGATGACATGAATTAACTTTCATGAAAGGAAGTAAGGCTTGCTCTAATTATAAATATGCACATGTGTATTTCACTCTTCCATGCCTTCTGCACAAAGGGTCCTAAAGCTCTAAGTTTAACAATGAAAGACTAATAAAAACTTTGGACAGGCAGTGGTGATTTACAACAATGATCCCAGAACTCAGGAGGCACAGGCAGGCAGGCAGTTCAAGGGCCAGCCCTAGGTGCACCTAGGTGGCAGCTCATATCTCTAACTCTAGTTACAGAGGATCAAACTCCCTCTGACCCCTGCAAAAACACCTGTATGCCTAAAGGATTTTATTTTTTTGTGCACAGGTGTTTTGCCTGCGTGTATGTCTGTACTCCAAGTACATGCCTGGTGTCCTTAGAGACCAGAAGAGGTTACTGGATCCCCTGCAACTGAAGTTATAGATGGCTGTATCCTGGGAATTGAATTCAAGTCTTTAGGTGTTCTTAACCACTAAGCTGAGCCATCTCTCTAGCTGCTAACTTAAATGAAATCTTAAAATGATTCCTATTCCTATTCCTTCCCTCCGTTATTCAACTTGGTCACAGTCCCCCACCCCCCTAAGTGCTGGGATTAAAGGCATGGGCCACCATGCCCAGCTTTAACTTGGTCTCAAGAGAATGCTCCAGGTTAATTTTCTACTTCTGTATTTGCTATTTCTTAAATGTCATCAGTTTTCTATAATTATATCCATCACTTTGTAATAAAAGGCAGTTAAAAATTCAAGTTTATTTCCTGGTATTCTTTTGTATGTAAACATTCTTTTAAGAAATGAAAAAAAAAAAAAAAACCTGTTAGAAAGTCAACATAATCTCTACAGAACACCTAGGTTGTTTATTTAACCAGGAGTAGCTAAGCAACCATGCAATGCCTGGTTGGGAAGCAACAATTTCTCTACAGATGTAAAGGAGGAGCCCTACTCACCATCAACATTATTCAAAAAGCTCCTTTCTGTATGAGTTTTTTGCCTGCATGTATATGTTTATATACATGCATGCCTGGTACCCTTACAGATGGTTGTTGAGACACCATGTAGGCGCTGGGTGGGAGTGGAACTCAGTCTTCTTAACTACTGAATTCTCTAGCCTCAAGTTCTTGTTTAAGTAGATGTTTAAAATGACATGATTAAGTGTAGCTCATATATCCAGGAACTCAAATTAAGAAAAAAATCTCAAGTTTCAACAGCTACAGTCTCCATGTAACTGGACCTCTATTTTTAGGAAGAGCTCAAACTATCACATTGACTAATGCAATTCTGTAACAATGCTCTTACACTTAGCTCAGTCTTATATTAGTCAACGCTGGGTGTGGTGGTATACACCTGTAACCCCAGAACTCAGGATTTTGAGGCAGGAGAATCCTGAGTTTGAGGCCAACCCAGTATCAGTAGACCAAAAAGCAAACCAAACCATCACCATCAATAAGAACACCAGCTACACTGTCAATAAAACTAACTCAACTTCTTTTGACAAATAGATGTTGTAATTTAAGAAAAGCACTGGGCAAGAGAAAGATGCCATGTGACAAGGTTTAAGCAGAGGGTTTATTAGGGAAAGGCATCATAAAAATGGGAAAGGGTGGGAGGAGGGGGGAGCTGGAGGAGAGAGAGGGGAACTGGGATTGGAATGTAAAAATGAATTAAAAAAAGGGAAGGGGGAGACCTGCCTCAGGAGACAGGAGCAGTAGGAGGAGAGAGAAGACAGGGAGGGAGAGGAAGAGTGGGAGAGAAAGAGACAGGGGAAGGAGGGGAAGAGAGAGGGAGGGAGAAGATAGGAAGTGGGCAGGGCTCTATTAAAAGGGAACAAAGGGAACATAGTGAACATGCACAGGTGGTGCTCTTAGTGGCTGCAGCTGAGGGTGTATCCTGTCAGAACCCCAAGGACAGGCCATTACAGATACCTAAATACTAACAGACATTACCGATAGGGTAGTGGGGGATTAACTGTCCCAAAGAAACTAACTGGGTGACTACAATCTTCAACAGAAAATGTGTTAAGTGAACAGACAGTGTGATCTATTTGGGTGATTGATGGAGCTATTTTACTAAATTGAAAGTTGAGTGATCCAAGGAAAGTAATCAATTCTGGGAGGTACAAGAGTAAATGAGTGTTGTTGAAAACCTTTTGTTTAGAAATTCACTGAACATCACAAACACACTAAGTAGCATGCCAAGTGCTATCCTAGGTACTAGAGTCAGAGAACACAAAGATTCTAACCTCATGGAAAAAATGGTAGGGTTTGTGGGGTATGAGTGAAATCCTAACTCTTGAAGTGGAAGCAGAATTACCAAGAGTTCAAGTTCTTTCAATATTACACACTGTGAGTCATTAGGCCAGCTAGGACTACAGAGCAAGACTGTTTCAACCACAACTACCATCCCCACCAAAAACGACTGTGCAGGCGTACATATACCAGAAAACCAAACCAAAACAATGTGTAGGATGGAATCTCTGTGGGGAAATAAAGGGAGGCAGGAATGAGGACAAGGGAAAGAAGGTTGCATTTAAAGGTCTTGAAGAGACCTCACTAACACTACTTGACAGAGGCTTGGAGGCCTCACTAGGCACTGAATCTGGGCCAATGAAGGAGGGAGCATAACAAGAGTAATTATTCCTGGCGGTGGTGGCACACGACTTTAATCCCAGTACACGGGAGGCTGAGTAGTCGGATCTCTGTGAGTTAGAGACCAGCCTGGTCTAACAAGAGCTAGTTCAGGACAGCCTCCAAAGCCAGAGAAACCCTGCCTTAAAAAAAAAAAGGGGGGGGGGAGATAACAAGTCAAGGAGAGACAGGGTAGGAAGAGGCCAGAGATTGGGTCTTATCAAACATAAGTGACTGACAAAGAACAGGAAGGAGTACAGACAAGGAATTGGGGGTTGGAGAGATGGCTCAGCAGTTAATAGTGACTGCTCTTCCAGAAAAAAAATTGATTTCTAGCACCAATAGAGCAGCTTAAAAGTGTCTGTAACTATACCTAAAACACATTTTTAGGGCTGGAGAGATGGCTCAGAGGTTAAGAGCACTGGCTGTTCTTCCAAAGGTCCTGAGTTCAATTCCCAGCAACCATATGGTGGCTCACAACCATCTGTAATGAGATCTGGTGCCCTCTTCTGGTGTGGAGGCAGAATGTTGTATGCATAATAATAATAAAAAAAAGAACCACTTTTTAAAAAAAGGACTAATTCGATAGAGCTGGAGAGGTGGCTAAGCAGTTAAAGCACACACTGCTTTTGCAGAGAAACCTGAGTGATTTTCAGAATCTGTATCTATTGGCTCACAAGCATCTGTAACTCCAGGGGTGGGATGCCCTGTCTGACCTCTGCAGGCCAAAGTACTTGCCAAGCATGTGTGTCCCTAGAATTGATCACCAATAATACTGCAACAAAGCAAAACCATGAACAATTTCATTGTCTTTGTCCTCACTGTACCTGCATCTACACAGCATATACTGTGTCCACTCTTATTTTGCAAACCATCTTTTCTGTCCCACTCAATAGAGTATGATCCCCTTTCCAATTTAAGGGGGCTGCTTGTCATCATACTCATTTTCACCCTCAACTATTTTTTCTTCTTTGGTGCCAGGGATCCAACCCAGTACCTCACAAATGCTAGGCACAGGCATATTATCGCTGAGCAAAAGAAACTTATTTTTTGCTGTTCGAAGGCAGCTTCTTTCAGAAGAGCCGGACTGGCCTGGAATTCAAGACCTTCCCAACTGCTGTTACCATAAACAGGTCCATGCCTCTTCAGGTTAAGTTCCACTCACATCGTATTTTCTGAGACAGGGTCACAATATTATTAGCTCTGGCTAGCCTCAAATTTGCTATGTACACCAGGTTGGTCTGGAAGAGATCTGCCTATCTCTGCCTCAAGTGTTGGGATTGAAGGCGTGTGCCAGCACCACCCTGCTGTCCTATGCATACCTTAACTGTCTTGAGAGTTATCAAACCACCGGGCGTTGGCTGTGCACTTTTAATCCCAGCACTCTGGAGGCAGAGGCAGGTGGATC